CAGATGCCAGGTAACATTGTGCTACCAGAAATTCAGGGTCAAACTGAGGTAGGCAAAATCTCCCAATAAAACCATGAAAAACAGTAGACACTTTAAGAGGGTACAAGACAGTATGTGAGAAGATGAATAATAAACCTTTTTCTACCAACAAAATCTCTATTTCTTGTCGCTTTTGGCTCTATAAGGTAACACTTCACTTGTCAATCCTTTTACTTCCTAGAACCTTCTTGCTCTTAGTAGAGAAAGTGCATACTTGAGTCTTTTCAAGTCACTAGAGACTCAAGTTTTTATTCAAAAGAGTTTATAAATAAGTAAGGGATGGTAAAAGAGGTACATGAAGGCAAGCTTCAAGTTGTTTTAATGAAAGTGTAAAGACTTTATTAGCAAAGAAGTATAAAACTTTTTGCGAATATCTTTTTTGTGTATGGTTAGAGGATCAGCAGAAAGAGTTCCTTTTTATTTTTATTTTTTAAATAATATAGTTTTTTAACTAATAATATATAAAATAAATTAATTATTAAATAATGATCCTTTATTATGTAAGATTCAGAATAATAAAATAAAAGGCTACAAAATGTCAGTGGCTTGGGATTCAGAGTTAAAGGAAAATACTGAAAGAAAGCTAGAGTCAAAACATATAGCTATTGCATTCATAGATAATACAAATAAGATCCAAAGAGGATATGGAAAAGATTCTAGAAAAAACAAGAATCTTTTATAGGACAAATGACTTATAGAGTAATAATAGTAAATTAGTATTAATTATTATTAACAATTCTAACCAATATCCAAAAGAGGTCCAAGTAGAAATTGACAAAGAAGTAGTTAGAGAATTGAATAAAGTCAAACAGACAAGATTTCTGGAGATCTGGATAGGTAATCAGAAATCTGCTATCAAGCTTAAAGAACAGATACTTAAAGAAATTAATATAGTTATCAAGTCTATAAAGAATAAAAGATTAATTGATAAACAAGCGCTTTATATTATAAATAGAATCCTAATATCCAGAATCAAATTTAAAATGCAGTATAGTGTACTATCCTAATAATATGTAATACTCTGACAATGGAAGAAAGCCATTAAAAAATAAAGCTATACTATACCAATCTATACCTAATAGTGTAGTACACCATCCTAGGATTTACAATTTAAAGAGTTTTTGGATGTTACAAAAAGAAAGTTAGATAATAGAATTGTACAATAGATTAAATGACTTGAAATCAGCTAGAATCATAACAATTATCAGGTTAATATAATCATAGATTATGTATTGGAAACCTCTCAACCTGCTTACATATAACTTACTAAGCCATCTTTTGGAAAGGAGCAACTTTATATAACAAGTACTGAAACTGATCAAAGATATATAGATGATCTTCTATAGCTGGAAGTGAAGTGATGTCTTTAATTGAAGTATTAGAAATAGTTCAATCAAAGATTATTTGATAACAAATGAATACAGTAAAACTATTTTATCACTTAAACACAATAAGTTGATATATATGGATCAGTTTATCAATTATAAAACTAGAGAAGTATGAAACTGTTGAATGTTTCAACTCTTATAAAAGACAAGAAGTAATAGACTTATTCTAGAATGGTACTTGTTAATAACAAGAAAAATATAAGGAAACAAGCTAGAACAGCTCATAAGCTCTTAAAAAAAATTGATTAAAGTGGAGTTCAAAGCATTCAATATTTAATCTCAACCTCGAAAAAGGCAAAAACTTTGAATAGTTACCAAGAGCAATAATCAGCAGTAACAATTTGTTTGAGAAAAATTTATTTTAAATAATGATAAAAAATGTATTAAAATAAATCATTTCAAATATAACAGTTTCAAGAAAAATTTGAGATCAAACCTAATATGATGTTAAGATTGCCCAGAAGAGATCAAGACTGAAAACTGTTGCATAGTAAAATTAAACATAAAACAAATATATATAATTTCTTATCTTAATACTAAGAAATCTATAAGAAGAGCCCAACTTTTAGAAATTTCTTGTTTTAAAGTAGTCCTAAAGAGAACAATAAATAGAACAATTTATATAGATTCAATAATTATACATTATGATAGAAGGCAACTGAAAGAAGTAGAGATAGAGAACTGAGAGAAGAAACTTATTAAAGAGAATATTAAAGAAGGTATATATCAAACTCATCTGATTGAAATACTCAGGCATAACAAGGGAATAATAACAATAATACATTGACCTTTTATTTTGACAGATCCTTTGTTAATTATGGAAATGAAAATATGAAGATGTGTATAGCATAGATACATATTGAAGAAGTAGGAAGGGAAAGCAAGTTTTAAGTAGAAATAGCTGATTGGCCTTCATCTACAAAAGTAGACTAGTAGTGATATTTACTATATTGCTAGTAATACCAGTTAATAGCAAGGTCGAGATTCATACTAACAACTAAGTTTGTATTATCAAATGAAAAACTATAGAAAAGAAGGATTCCAAAAAAATCTACAAAAGATAGCTAAAAAAATAAAATTGATCCTTGTGAATATGAATAGTGAGTTAATAAAGAAAAAAGAATTAGATCTAAATTTTATCAAAGTCAAAATATACTCTAATATTCAATATAATAAGAAAGCAAATATTCTAGCTAAAGAAATGTTAAAGTTCTCAACAATAGAATGGTAAGATCTGAACTTATCTAGGATTATTATAAAATCAAATGACAAGATATAGTGCTGAATGCTCCAATAAGACAGTTTGTTAAAAAAACTAATGCCAAAATAATGACATACCAATGGACAACTCAAAATAGAATAGACAAAAAATAGAATCATTAAATCTAAGATCAGCATAGGTACATATAAAATCTAGTTTGGAAGCAAATGAATAATAGGTATATATAGAATATCTTTTTCAAAAGATCATAAAGAAAAAACTTTCTTGTTAAGATAATTAGCAATAAGCTACTCATATTAACAAAGCTAGCCACAAGAAGATCAGATTTATACAAGCAAGTAAAATGTCTCATATATGGATAGTAAAAAAGACAATAGAACACTTGTTAGAATGCCTAACATACAAAACTCAATGACAAGAAGCTTGACAGAAGGATATGGAAGATATAATGCAAGATTTTAACAAATTTTTGGCTGATAGGAAAAAGGAGTTAGAAGAAAAAGAGATAAGTCCGATGGTCGATAACAGAATGGAAAGAGAAGAAATGGATAGAAAATAGCTTAACTGATGAAAAGGATTTCAAATATTGATCAGAATATATTTAACTTCTACATAGAACTGATTAAAAAAGATCTAATAGGTGAGATAGTATACTTGAAGTACTATAGAAAAGGAATTGATAAAGAAGCAAAAAAAGCAGATAATAAAGATACAAAAAGAAATTATATAACTACTTCAGAAAGAAAATTTGGAAATAAAGATACAAAAGAAAACATATAACTATTTCAGAAAGAAAATTTGGAATGTTAAATATGAGATAGTGATAGAGTGGAAACAAATGTTGAGAATTAATAAAGATGACAAGATCAAAAGATTAATATATCTATAAAGGTAAAAAACAGGATTAAGGTATCAGGAAATAGGTAATATAAAGTATTATTAAATGAAGAAAAATTAGAAAATATGATACTCAAACAGATCCTACAAAATAGGGTAAAGTATGAAATTAAATAATTGGGTTTTAATCTCTATTAGAACTTGAAAAAGTAATCTGCAGTAATGATTTGCAAGCAATGATATTAGAAGTTGAAAGAGTATTTATCTGAATTTCTAATAGAGTAACAAATCACTCTTGAAGTTGCACTTAAAAAGATAAAACAATTAAGATGAATAAGTTAATTAAAGAATTAGTTTTAATGTCTCATGTTATATGTATAGCTTATAAATATTTAATAAAGCATATACTGTATAATTAACAGGATAAAGGGCAAAAAAAAATAAAAATAAAAAAATAAATTAGTTATTGTATAAAAATCCATACAATATTATAATATTTATTCAATATTATAATAAAGATGCATTATAATAATATGATTATAAGTAAAAAAAAAAAAAAAAGAAAGTTTGTTTACTTGAAATAAAATAACTATTTTTAAAAAACTTTGTTTGATTAAAAATTTTAAAGTTAAAAAAAAAGTATTGTTTTTTGTTTAATTTTTAACATTGTAATTGTTTTTTTGAATGATTAATTATTTCTATTGATTTTTTAAACACATATAAAAAAGAAATTTGATTAATAAAGTTTTAATATTTTTTTAAAACAACCTAAAAAGAGTCTTTTAAAATTATTAGTACATTTCTTATCTTGATTACAAATCTTTTTGATTAAAAGCTTGACTTTTATAATAAAAATAGGATAAACATTTTTACTACCAATAACAAGAAAGTTTTTTAAAGAAAAAGAATTAATTGTGAAGTATCTGAAGACAAATTAAAATATTGATTAGATTATATCGCGTAAATAAATCCCAACTAACCTGACTGCAAAAAATAAATAATAATAATAATAGTAATCAATAAACTCGTCAAGTAATAAGACATGTAGTAATTTAAAATTTTATCTCAAGCAACAAATTATTAGTATATTATATCAGGAAAATTTAAATAAATACTTTATATTTCACAAATCCAACTATTTTGTTTCTGTAAATAAATACTGTACCTAAAAATGGTTCATTCTTATGCGTATTAATCAGCTCGGCAAATAGTTCAAGCGAATGTCAGGCCCTAAGCTCTTAACTCGATAGACAGAAAAACTAGACGTGATTTAAATGTGTGTAGATTCTTTAGACTTTGCACCTTGTGTCAGTTTTTGAAAAAAGAACAGATTATTTAACTGGCCAATAATATCTAGATACGAAGTATCTTTTCATTTTGGGACCAAGTCCCTGACTTATAAAATAAGAGCTTTATTTAAACAAAATTCAAATAATCTCTGCAGGGACCTATACTATTACATTGACTTGTAAAATAATTTCCATAAAAGTAATCTTCATTGAGCGTAGTTCACCCTAAATCCTGTAGGGAAATTTTTCTGCAGTACCGTTGGCTCCACGATATGACCATGGCACCCCAAAATACGTGAAAATGATACCCAAAGAAAATATTTCGTTCGGCACCCATGAACTCTCGTCAATTACGACTTCTTTATCATGTCCGTGAAAATGTTTCGATACAGTATGGTATAAAGCTCCTATACAAGATTGCACGTCACCAAGTCTAATATCATTATCATCGCAACTGCGTTTTAAAAAGTCGACGAAATCCTTATTTTGGGATAAGGTGTTTAAAGCTTTATCCAGAGGTTCGGAAAAGCTAACAGGCTTATTTATTCGAAAAATCTATAAGGATATATAAAAAATTCTTCATGTTTAAATACTGATAATGGGAAAGATATAACAAATAAATATCGAAACATCACCTTGGAACGAATAGATTCGATGAAGCCTCTTATATTGCGTAAATTTTCAAGGCGTCCGTGATTTTCTAATTTCTGTCTGTATTCTTGTATTTTAGTATTCATGTTCTCCATTATTTCCTGTTTTTCCTTTTCTTTTCTCTCCACGATTTCAAGTTTTTCTGCATCCTTACTCTCAATTATTTTTTTATGAAGTCTATTTATTTCGGATCTGAGCTCCGAGTTATCGATCTTGGAGATACACGAAAAAAATTTATATTCAAGGTCTTTCAAATAAAAATAAAATATTGGTGTAAATAATGTTAGAGAAGATAGATCTTACACTACTAAATTTTCGTTTTTTGTTACCTTCTTCAACGTCCAGTTCCCTATTCTCAATATTCTTCCCAATAGGTCCCTCATTATTTATATTCTCAATATTCTTCCTAATAGGTCCTTCATTATTTATATTCCCAATATTCTTCCTAATAGGTCCTTCATTATTTATATTCCCAATATTCTTCCTAATAGGTCCTTTATTATTTATATTCTCACTATTATTTTTAATAGGTCCTTCATTATTTATATTCTCATTATTATTCTTATTGAGACCCTTATTATTTATATTCTCATTATTATTCTTATTGGGTCCCTTATCTTCAATGTTCTTCTTATTAGGTTCCTGATTATTTATACCTTCAATGTTCTTCTTATCAGGTTCCTGATTATTTATATATACGTTGTTCTTCTTATTATTCTTTATGTCCGTAATATACAATAAAGATTCGATTAATAACGTGTTCATTGAGTAATATTTTATAGTACGGTATAACGAAACATCAAGTTCTTAAGGAAGAATAACCACTCTCGTCAAGCGCTTCCTAAGGAGAAAGTCACTCTTACACGCAGTTTAGACGGTATCACAAAAACATATGCTAGCAGACTATTCTTTGCGTGTGTAGAGTAAATAACCTTCACCGTATAACTCAGACAGCCGAACCAGCGAGAACCACCCTCGCAGTATAGCTCAGGTGATGTTTCGTTAACAGACTAACTTCTTTGTGATACTTACCTTATTTTTTTTATAATTTTTTATACCCATATTTCCGAGAGGAATGAGTCATAATATCATTGCTTTATATAAACTTCTTTACTAGAAAAGTGATACAGTGAAATTTGATCTTCGAAGTCTTTGTTACACTATCCATAACAATAAGAATCTAATTTAGAATACAGTTAAAGTATTTTATAGGAATTCGTGAAACAAATTTTTTTAAAAAAAAAATACTTATTGTTTTAAAATAGATTAAAATATATACAGTATAACTATTTTTTAATTGTATTATTTAAAAATTATCATGATAAACGATTTTAGTTATTAATTTATGATTCTAATTAATTGATATTTTTTCTTTTTTTCTTTTCTTTTCGTTTTCTTTCTTTAAGAATATACAGTATACCGTGTTACTGTATATAATGAATATAATGAAAAATGATTAAATTAAATCATAGTAGTAGTACACTTCGCATATATGGACGAAATTACCGCCATTTTTCATTTATCTAGTTTACTTGCATGTACTTAGCCCATAGAGATTTCCCAAATTGGAAGTGTGCATTCGGACTTTCCTTTAAAAAACTAGATTAAAGACATGCCGTGTAACGTCTATTTAGAATCCTCCGTAAAATACTTTGGTGCAATTGAAACGTGTACGTAATAGAATCTTTTTTTTTTTTTTTAAAAAAAAAAAAAAAAAAGACAATCCAAATGACGTTGCTCCCTGTGAGTTTCGAACTCACGACCTCCAGATTATGAGACTGGCGCGCTGCCAACTGCGCTAAGGAAGCGATCTTGATTAATGATTTAAAATAAAAAATCAAAACCATTTTAATAATTCGGATCGCCAGAACGTGTCACAAAATTGGTTTTGACATTCTAATGTTTGTACATATGTTAATCGTCTGACAACCAGAATTTCAAAAAACCATAAGACACAAAAGAGTGGGCAAGTCTATTATCAAAATGAGCCAAGACAATCCATTACAAAAGGTCGTGCGACGAATACTCCTTCCTTCCTTGCACGATGGAACCCGTTTAGAGGCTAGAGTGTCATATTGGCGCAATGATAATGGAGAACAGAGGTCAGTGAAAGCTGCGATTATTTCCCACCCGTATGGGCCTTTAGGTTTGTAGTCTCCTAATGCACAATAATAGATTAGAGAATCGCATGATTTATATAATTGGCCAATTAGCCGATGTTTGCGATTTGGAATTAATCGACTTGTTTAATGCATCGATCCTCATCTTTCAGGAGGAAATTTCCATAACAATGTTGTCGTCGCGGTTGAGAGCTTCTTCCTCACCAGAGGATATTTGACCATCGCATTCAATTTCAGGTGAGAAATTAAAAATCACGAAATGGGAAACAATATTTTTACGTATTAATTTATATATTAAACGGTAGAGGTGCAGGTAATTCCAAGGGTCGAACAAGTTTGTCAGGAGAGCCGGAGAGCGGAGATTATAAAACCATGGTTGAATTTCTATCGAATTCGGGTAGAGTCGATGGTAACATCATCATGCAAATTCCTCAAATTTCCGAACTGATTATTATAGTGAGTTCTTTCCCGGAAAAAAAAAAAAAAAAAGGTCGATTTTTTTTAGTAACGCACGAGCTCACCGAGATTCACTTATTCACCTAGGGGTACAGTTATGGATCACTAATCGCCTCCACAGTGGCCTCGTTCGCACCGCCACCATTCCCTACGCACTACATACTAATTAGTTATCCAGTATCGGTAACATGGTTTCTCACCTTCTTTCGTTCATCAGTATATTCCAATCATTTAAAATCTTTGATCGAATCGGACGCCCGGGTGTTATTTGTCTATGGGGATTATGATCAATTCACGAGAACAAGCAGGTTCAGACAATGGATACGTGAAAAGAATCTAACAGAGAATTCACATTGGACTGTGAGAGAACTAAAAGGTGTGGATCACTTTTATGTGACACGTAGTATGGAGAATTCATTGTATGAGGTATTAAGAGAGTGGGTGGACGAAATATTGAGTGCTAGACGAGTAGAAGGTGTAGATGCTTCATCATCGTCGGCTATAACAAAACAGGAAAAATGAGGCGGCAGTTCTTGGAATTTATCAATAACTGTTCGTTTCAATGTAAAATACTTTATTGATTTTCTTTGATTGTAACATAATTGGTATCACTATTCCTTAAAGTCTTACAAAATATGATATCTGTGTGAATATCATTATGTTTTGTGATTCCGATGTGGATAAGTCGGATGATTACATGGAGCAATTATTAAATTTACTTGGGTGATTCGATTATAATAAATTAAGAGCATATTATCTATTAGCCCCCCCAAAAAAAAATTTCGAATCCATCGTCGATTCAAAGTTATTTTTCGGACTTTTACGAATTATCAAAGTGGTCACTCAAAATCCCCCATAAATTACCTCCTCCTCTCATTCAACCGTGGCTTTCATGGAAGATAAAATGCCTCAATAAAAAAAAAAATAATAATAATAATTTTTTTAAAAAAATAATAACAATAATTTTTTAAAAAAAAAAATACAAATAAAGAAATATGAAACTCCATCATAGCAACAATCTTTCGCGTCTATTTTGTCCGGATAATTTGACAATGTTCGTTAGATATTTCATATGCTTTGTCATCTTATATAATATCCATATTCCAATTAAAGTTCTTGTGATAGTAGCAATGATGACGGATTTTTGTACAGCCTTGTGATAATCAGCCCATCCGCTTGCCCATTCAATTCTTATGTTAAAAAGACGTGGGTCAGTTAGTTATTTTTTCTTTTTGAGATTAGACGGTATCATACATTCTCCATTGCAATGAACCAAAGACAAAGCAGACCAACCTTCTATTTGCAAAATCGGCCTTTTGCTTCCGATATCGTGTGCGATTGTTCTTTAGAAACAACCATATAAAAAAATTCACGTCCCAATAATCGAATTTTGGTCGTAATGCATCCAGCCTCCTCGGCGGCTCTTCTTCGGATTTGTACATCATATCCATCAGATCACTCGTCATTTGCAGTGTTAGTCCCCATAGTCTTAGTGTCGAGGCGTGTGTCACCTGAGCCGTTTCCGGCGACAGTAGCGATAAATATTGATCTGAATCTAGCTGTGGAATGTCGATGCAATGAAAATGCATTCGACCTATCAGAGTTTTTAGAATATTTTGAAGTATCCAAGATTTTGGTGCTAGACGAGATGATAGGTCAATCGAGATGGGGTTCCTCTTTTGGGTGAGCTTTGGATTGAAAAAAATTGAGATCGGAACCCAGTGAGTCGAAGCAATCTCGGACCCCGATATTTCTATCGGCGGGGTTTCTCGTGTTAATTGTAGGAAAACTAAATTTTCGAAAACATTTATTTAGGTGTGCGACGAAAGGTAAATTCAATATGAGAAAGATGAAAGGGAAATTTCTTACCGAAAGGACATAGGATCATCAACAATTTCTTTCCGAATGTCGTGGTGACCTCTAGATCATCCAGTGCTCCAATGTGCGTGAATTGATCTCTATTTCCAAGGTCGAGACCGACTGCGAGAGAGAAAATTTCAAAAAAAAAAATCTTTGCATAAAGAAAGAAAAATAACGACATAAATAAAATAATAATAATAATAGCGATGAGATTACCTTCTTCAAAGGTTTCCCTCTCTGCGGTATCCAAATCATCTACGTCTTCGGGATCCTGTTTTCCTCCGGGGAAAGCCATCTGACCGCTCCAACGATCTCCATTCCTTAATGCTCTCTTTATATACAATATCTCGGGAATTCCATTGGTCACCCATGGTAATTTCCAAAAATCCTCTAAACTGTTTACTTCCGATGTTTCTGAGGGTGACGAAGACGCGGGAATTTTATCGGTCGTTTTGGTACGAATGTTTACTGAGTAAGAAGGGTTAGATCGGATTCGAATTATTATTGCCACGCTAGCCCTGCGTTTTTGATGCGGTGGTGAAAGGATTTTGTGCGGTGTGGTTCTTTCAAGATTGGACAATGCAATTCGAAGACGATCTATTATCGTTAATTCTACAAATGGCGCAGCAGAGCATTGTGTTTTGAATAATAGATTCGTCGGAAAATATGAGTTTAGAATCTTTCTACCTGTAAAATCCGACATTCTGGTAGAAATTTGAAATGAAAAAAGTATTCGACATGGAAATCCACAGAGGCTGAGAAAAAGAATGGGATATTTATACATTTTTGTTATCGACCATTTTATCGATCATCGATCCATTAGCCTATTTTGAAAGTTTTGTGGGGTAGAAACCGTTTATTTCTCGATATGGAAGACAATCATTTGCATTTAGTTTATATGCATAAAAAAAGATTAAACCAAAAAAACTTTATAGAACAATCATAGATACAATATCTGTAAAAACCGGATTTAAGTGAATCCAAAATTATTTATTATCTTCATACAAACCAGTTAATGCTCGCGACTTGCCGAAAATGTTATTTATTTCTTTTGTCTCCGTAAGTCAAATGGGTAAAATTTGGTCTACTGCAGCTAAACTAATATGATCGACGAATCACGCAAACTCCCTAGACACTTGTCGATTAGTTATGGTGTTATGGTGTGGTGATGTGATGTTATGTGCTATGCATCAATGTACAGTATATACAGTATATATGTATATATACTGTATCTATTTTTTTTTTTTTTTTTTTTTTTTTTTTGACAAAGTTTCACCTATATCGCGGATCTCATCTGCAGCAAACTCGATTTAAGCGTGCTTATCACCACCACCGAACTTTAAAGAACAAACCGCAAACTTCTCTTTACATGATAATGCACATGGCATATCTTGCTTTGGGTTTTTATACGTGCGTGCATATACAATGGATGCATTGTACACATTTATAGGCATCACACTTGAAAGCAGACACCATATTCTATCTAGTTTATTTAATTAAATGATTGGATGAATAGTTGATTGGAGTTTCTTGATAAGTAATCACCATTATCTTTATACAATTAATTTGACTATTTTTATGATCAATCAAAAAATTATTGAATCATTAAAGATCAAGGAAATTTAAAAAATTTAGTTCGAATATACTGTACATTGTATATTTTTTAAAATCAATATAATTTATTTTTATTTTATATATTTAAAATTTTTAAAATAAAAATTCAGATATTAAATTGTTAATACTATTTTTAATACAACTTGAAGAATATTTTAAAAAATTATTTCTATTAATTTATTCTTTTTTATAATTCTCATTAATCAAAACTTGATTTCTAGTAATCAAAAAAATTAAATAATATCTTTTTATCAATAACAAAAAAGTTTACAATAAAAGAAAAATTAATATTAAAGTATTTAAAGATTTTTTTTTATCTTTAATATAAATTATTATAAAAAGCTTATTCTCTTTAATTAATTATTTGTACTCTTTCAAAACTTTTATTTTTAATTTTTAAATAATTAATCTTTATTTAATTTTTTTTTATAATTTTCTATCAAACTAAATATATGTATTTTATTAGAGATTTGTATATTATACGTTGCAAAATATTTTGTTAAAGTTAAATCTCTATCTAACTTACTTATCTTTGTTTATATTTTTATTACTTTAAATATAACTTTAGAAATAATTTATTTTATTTCATTGGTAATTCAAGTATAAATCTTTCTAATTATTAATATCATTATTTTTTATTCTTTTTTATACTAGATTCCATATAAAAACTTATTATTTTAAAATTGATAACTTAATTTTTTTTGATTTTGTTTTATTGTATTTATTGGTAAAACTATTATTTTATTATTTACTTTTTTAACAAACTATTTTATTGAATTATCCATAATCATATTTTGTTATCTTTTTTTTATAATAATTTTGTGTATAGTGAAATCTTTCTACTCTATTGCTAGAAGTTTTAAGGCTTTTTTGGCAAAAGCATTTGCTTCTTTATTATAAAGATCATTAGAGTATACTTTAACTTTGTTAAGTTTCATATTTACAATATGTTCTTTTTATTTTTTAGTTTAATTATCTTTACCCATAGAAACTAGTTTTTTTTCTTTAACCATCTCTTGTATATTCTCTTTAAATCTTCTTTTTCTATTATTTTTTATTTGAAGCTATAAACTTGACTATTTATACAAATCTTAATTATGCTTTTAATAAAAACTACTAAAAATATTGATATAATTGCTATTAGATCAGCTCTTATGGATAAAGATCAATTATCTATTTTTATTATACAATCCTTTTTTAATATTATTTCTGATAATGGTTTTTTTCTTTCAATTTTAAATATTATTATAATTTATTTTATCATATAAAACAAAAGTTTTGAAGATTATTGATCTTTATAAATTACTTTTTTAATTATTTCTTTTAATAATATTATGATTAAATTTATATTTGATCAGTATATTCAAATAGAATTGTTTTTAAAAAATTGATTTCTAAAAAAATAATTCAAAAAGTGATTTATGATAATAAAGAAACAATCAAGAATAGATTCATTAAGAATCCCTTTAAACAGTATTAAACAATATTTTACAAGAAATATAGTTTACTCAAAATCCAAGTTTATTAATAAATCAAGAAAACCAGAACAATTTCTTTAACCTTAAAGTCAAAAGAAAATATTTAATTTTTAAAAAAAAGTGAAGTTATTTTTACAAACTTTAGATGAATTACTACTATTTATATACTTATAAAAATAGATTATTTGAATTATTTGAACCTTTTAAATCTCCTGGATTTCTTGAATCTCCTGAATTACCTGATCTATAATAAATTATATCACCTATTATATTTGATAAAGTGATCTATTTTAATTAAGTATTAATAAGAATATTAAAAAATAATAAAGAAATAATTAGATAAAAAATAGAAATAGAATAAAAATCATAGTTAAAAATAATTATTTAATGATATTGAAAACTATTTTATTATATATATTTTTTTAAAAAATATATTTTTTGAGTTAAGTTTCTTTATATAAAAAATAAAATTATTTTAATAAGTTTTATTAATTATTTTAAAAAGATGGTTTATTGACAAAAACTTTATTTAATAAATTTAATTTGACTTGTCTTGGAAGATTTTATAAATATATTTAGTTATACAATAGTAATAGTAAGAATTTTGAAATAAATTTTTCTATAAGTACCATTGCTATATTTTCTTGAAATTCCAAATAATATTCAATAGTTCTTTCAAATAATATAAATTGATCAAAATAGCTATATAGTTAAATTGTTACATACATTACTTAATTCTCAAAGAAATATTTTTGATACTATCCTTTACTAAAGCAATAAGATTATATAAAAATTTATATTGGTTTGAAGTTTCATTTAAAATAGATAATATATTTATTTTAAGTAAGTTTAGTTTTCTTGCAGCTTGTTATTGATAGTTGAGTTTGGATATTTTGATAAAAAATTTTTTATTTAAATATTCCTTTATATATTTCAAAATTGATATTAATAAACAACCTATTTCAATTTGACTTTATATAATATCTTATCCAATTAATTATTAGTTTCTAATTTATTATTAAATTAATAAGCTTAATAAACAATTAATTATTAATTTCTATATTTTTATTATCATTTCCTTAAAAATATCTTATGTCAATAAACTTGAATATACAATTAAACATTTCAATTCAATATTGATTTATTTATTTTTTTATTTTATTAATTAATTTTTTAACTATCCTAATTGATGAATATAAATCTTTATTAAGTAATAGTAGGCTTTTGATTATATGAGCTATTCACTTAACTTATTTAATCATATCAAATTAACTCTATATTTTGATCCAATCAATTTTACTATATTTGATACCATTTTATCAATTACCTTACTTTCCTAGGTATCCAGTATTCCAAGAATTCACTAAATGACTTTTATTAATACTAAAAAAAAAGCTTTAAAATATATATTTCTTAGATAATAAATATTGTTCATATTGTTCTGGATACTATGAAAAATCTTTTACCATGTTAAGTCCTAATAAGGCTGGTTATTTTCTAATTGTATTGACCAATGGTATATGTTAATAT